TATATATATATATATATTATATTATATATATTATATATATATATATATTATATATATATATGCATATGTATATGCATATGTATGTATGTGTATACTAGATCGTGTAGCTCAATGCCAGGAACTTTGCATTGATTTAAAATTTGCAATAATAAACTAAAGTTATAGCTTCTCTTAATGCTATCTATCTTGTTACCAGGCCGGTGTTGGGTCAAATCGACCACCATTGTAACAAGGCACACCTGGCCCTGGCACGGTACGAAGTAAATATAACCACGCATATAGTGAACTAAGTTAAGCGTATTTGTCCCGCGTCCGATCAGGCATATTATTTTATTTCTTCTCAAGAGGGTCAAGGAGAATGCACACACAATTGACAGTAGGTCGGGGATTTGGGGTCTCGGACTCTCGGGCTATAAATGACAAATGACAAGTGGCATCTAGTTTACAGATTCTGATTGGCGGTTCATCGGTTTTGTGGCCCAAAATTTCAAACGAAAGGACATTTTTTGAAGTGCACGATCCTCAAAATTCACTATTGGAATGTCCCGTTTAAAAAAGGTTTGAACTTTTAAAAAGCTACGGTTTTACGTTTTCAAGTTCGAGCTTTTTGCCCATGCCTCCTGAACTTTATGAGGTTAGTAGTCTATAAATTGAAACAATTTGTGTTCCAATTTTCTGAAATATTTTGGAGGCTATGGAGCAGAGAATTCTAAAAAAATATAAGTTTAGAGGACAGGTTACTGGGTCAGTGGCGCCGTGCTTTCAAACGATATATTATTTACCGATCCTTTATTTCCGAAGTTTATTTCCGGAGCTAGGCCATGCGCAAACTCTGACCAAAATGGTCTCGTTTGACATTTCAGACAGTCAGAGTGGCCATTGACGTTGACTTCATGTGACACTGTGACTGATGACTCGGTAGTCGTCAGACCACTATAAGACTTTTTTAAAAAGAAAGAAAAAGTCTCACCTGACAATTGTACAATGCACTTTCTGGGTTCCTGATGTTCATATCCTTGCATATATAAATATGTTGTAATATCCAGTACCCACCACTATCACTGGGAATCTCTGTGGCTGATTAAATATTTTGCATCAGTGTATAACTGTATATCATTGTACCCACATCACCCACGGCAAAGATTAGATTGAGGGCCTAGCGACTATTATAGTATTTCAAGTATGGCAGCTGTGGAGTATGTGTACGAAGCGCTCAATGCCGATAACTTGGAGCCAGCATTGCGAGCATGCGCCGACGTCTTCGCGAAGGACGAGCCATTGGCTGTACATGTAGGTTCGACCACATCAGAGATAGTTGATTTTACACGCCCAATCTATGAGATGATTGTAAAGAATGACTGTAAATTATCACAGGTTGTCAGATTCGGTGTTGAGGGACCGGTTGCTGCCGTAATGATAGTGTATAACCAGGAGCAGCTAAACCAACTGGACGAGGCCTACTTAGCTTCAGTAACAAGCGATAGTGCAGCCGTGGTTTCGGGGTGTCTACATAGTCTGGAAGAAATATTTCTAAAGATGTTGCCTGAGAAGTTAGGTCGAGATGTACCTTTGAGTAAGGTGGCATATTGCATGATGCGCTCTGTGACCCCAGAACACCGAGGTAAAGGGTTGGCAAAAGTAATGCATGAACGGATGTTAAATACCGCACGAACGGAGGATTATGTGGCACTCTATTCTAAGACAACTAATGTGCGAAGCAAGTCGCTTGTACAACGTCAAGGAGGAATGGAATGGGACTGTGTGAAGTACGGAGAGTACACAGACGAGAAGGGAAACAAGCCATTCGCCAATATGGATATGAAGCTTGGCAATGCTGCCACTTTGATGGTGACCATACTTGATACCTAATACGGTACGTGATCTGTTAAGCAGATTATAACTTTTATACGGACGATATGAAGCACCCGCACAGTCGCTTTTGAATCTTGTACCATTCCTCCTATACAGGACAGTGAAAAATATGTCGATTGTGACAGACATACATACACAAAACTGGTACATATTTAGACATTTAAACATACTTTTCTTCTCGCATTTATAGTCAGTCAGATTGCCCACGGAACTGAGATAAGCCAACTTACTCTACAGCGCACGATTCGTAACATTAGTAACTAATATGATACTTGGTGGTAAATAAACCTAAACTTTCCTATCTGAGAATATCAATGGCGCCACTATTGCTTACTAAACTACGAATTGGTGAAAGTTTGACCAAACCCAATAGAACATAAATACAAGAAAAAGAAGCAAAGCCATTAGGTATTAAATAATGACTAATTTTTACTCCAGAGCGCTTAAGCAAGTCGCCTATGTACAGAGCAAGCTTCCGCCTTGCCCACATCTCTTATCAATATATATATATATTCGTAGCATAATTTAAGCAGCAATAGCACCAGGGATAGCCTCCTCAGTCTCAGCCTCAGGCTGCTTGGTAGCCTCGTTCAAAACAGGTGTCTCGGCCTTAACCGTAGGCTCGGTGGTGTCTGCAACGGTCTCAGTTGTCTCTGTAGACTTCTTCACCTTGGAATCCTCTGTGGCGGCAGAAGTCTCTTTTACAGCCTCCTTTGTGTCCTTTGTGGTCGTCTTCGTCTTCGTGGGAGCCGAAAATGCCTTACGGATAGCCTCTACACGCTTTCGGTTGACACCAAAGTCACTCCTGCCAACACGGCTCGCTGCTCGCACGTGCAATACCTTGGCTTCAGCATCAGCTAGGAACTCGACATCATCTACGAACTTCATGATGTATGTAGTGTATGTGTAGTGCTGGTATGACTTGGTAGCGGTCTTTGCCACTAGATGACCTTTTTGTCCAATGACAGAAGCAAGGTGAGCGAGAGCATCAACCGTAGTCTCTTGGGTAAATGCGATGGGCTCAATGAAGTGCTGCTTGTCCGCAGCAGGGCACATGCTTGAAACGCAGTTAGGCGTCTTGGGAACGGCCTTTAATGTGTTGCCTTCATGCACACCTATATCAGTTGGCATCTTTCCGACCATGATGATTTTAAATAGACTTTGTTAGTAACTTTTATGCAGCTGTTGTTTATGATTGAAGTAAGTAAATGAGTGACATATAAAACAATTCCGGCATTATATATTACAATGAGCACCGCGCAATAGTTCTCACAAATACGTGGTATCATTTGTATTTATCATACTCGCGTCATGTGGCCATCCCGTGTACGGTTTATTCCGTATAGACAAAACAAACTTTTGATAATATTTTTATATAAAATACTAATAATATAATTCTCTCTCTGAAGAGCGTTTGAGACACCCGGCAGTTTCTCTCTCCGCGAGAGAGAGAAAGACAATAAAAAGAGAGCGAGAGAGAAAGAGAGAGAGAGTATAAAATAAACATTTACATAGAGTAGAGAGGAGTGGGGGCTCACTGGGGCATGAAAACTCAGAAAAGGTGTACAGTTGTACATTCTCGATTTCTCGCGAATCATAAATTATACAAACCTATTTCCAAAGTTTGCCGGCGAACTGCGGTTATCACACTCAAGAGAGAGAATAGTATGTATATATATTCGGTCACTTTTTTAAAGTTTTTTTTTACGCCAAAAGTAAATATATTTTATTTTGTAAAACAAAATTCCAAAAGGATTTCATCATTCGCGGCCCTCTGAATTTGAGTCCCTGATTTCTGCTCGAGACCCAAATCCAGAGGGCCATGAGGGTTTATATTGACTTTTTTTGTTTTTGTTTAAAAAAATAAAAAAATAAATAAATATAGCACTCATTTTTAGTCACACAATTCATGTCATGAATATACTGATGACACACGTGTAAATTATATTTAGGAGGCATCAGGTTTTGTAGAAAAAAAATATCAAGAAAAAGTTAGACACACGCCTCGCGTCTCGCGAGCGGAGTCGAGCACCCGGTTTTTCATTTTTGAATCTATTTTTAATTTTTAAAATAGCCTATAGGGCGGGTCGGCGGGAAAGGACGGAGTTCGGACCTGTCACGGGGGGGGACGGTTGGGGTTAGACCGATATTTTGGAGGGTTTCCCGTTTCAATACAAACTTCAACTTTCAGGCAGTTTCAGACTTTCAGCACTTTGATTTTCAGACTTCAGGTTTGAACTTTGAGGGCGGCTTTGAGCCCGTACTTCGAGTTTGAGTCAGTTTGATAACCCAATGCTTTTTTAGGCTCCTCTATAGTTTCTTCCATACAAAAATAATTTGTTTTTTGAAACAAATAATGATGCAACAATCGGAATAATTGGTTCATTTTTAAATTTGTTGACCTTTTCATCTAAATAAATAAATAGAACAATTGACGAAAGGGCGCCGGGTGTAGTGCTATAGTCAGCAGTGGGTCATGAAATGATGAAGCCCGTGTGATGCCGAATCGCCAAAAATATAACAATGTATTAAAAAAAAATAGTAAAGCAAGTAGTTTTATCGCGACTCGGTGATTCAATGGCTCATATCACTGATATCACTAGTACCGAGAAATCCTACGAATCGTAGAATTTGGCCCTATTTTTTAAAAACAAATTTGGTTTGAAATCCTACGAATCGTAGGATTTTGACGGACTTTGACTTTGGCCCTTATTTCCACCCGATTAGAAATGTCTTAGGCCTATTCCCTATGTCGCAAAGGAAAGACAGAAAAATTCTAGCCGAAACGACATGCTAAACATGGCAATCCGTCTAAAACTCGCTTCACAGCAATCATTCAAACACAGCAATTCAAACAAACACACATAACCTTACTACTAGCTATATGCAACCCAGGTGTAATAGTACTGTAAACAGTCGTTTAGATAGTTAGTTAGCATTAATTTTCATTAGTTAGCATGTCAGGTAATCCATTAGAAGTAGGGAACCTTTCACCGGATACGGTAAGGCGTAACAAACGTAGGAATCAACATTCCTACTCAAGGACATTACCTGCATTGCATGAGCATGCGCATGCACAGAATATCGAACATAGTAATTTCGATACTCCGAATAATGTTTTAGATGCACAAAGCGCAAGAACACAACATAATAACACACAACTATCTGTAAACTCGCACAGTAATTACATGTCGTACACACAACCAGATTTGATGGATTACTTCAATGGGATGCAATCGATGCAGTCGCAACAATCGGCATTTCACGATAGTTACACACCAGCAGACGATAGTTATGCTAGAACTTACTACAACGTTAACAGATGGGATCCTATATATTACACATCATTAAACAACAGTCATCGATATAATGCTGAGAAGAATCAGTCCCACACAGATAGACACATCGCACACATAGATGAAGCATCTCAATCTCGAAGTATATCGAATGGTTTTATTGAAATAAATATGTGGCACTTTAATTTTCTTACGACTTGTGAAACTTATGAGTCTCTTCTGTATCGGTTATACTCATATTTGTCCTATTTATTATGGCTTCATATCTAAATAACCAGAGTAAATCGAAAAGATAAAAATATAATAAAAATTAATTTCTGATCATAATTAGGAATTAGAAACCCTACGATTCGTAGGATTTTAAGCTGGGTACCCCTTCCTGGTACAATTTTTTTGACGGCTTTTGGCTGCTTTTGTATGAAATCCCACGATTAGTAGGATTTTCCAGCGGAGCTAGTGATATGTATTTGGTCCTGATCAGGTTATCCGTGGCGTCAGGCCGTCACTCTCTCTCTCTCTCTCGAGAGAGTAGTAGACTATAGAGTGTAGACTGTAGAGGTGCTTTTATGAGTCATTTAAAAAAAAAGAAGTTTAAACCCGAACAGAAACCCCACGGCTACTCAACCAACCCCTGAGGAATAGAAGAGTTTATATGACGAGCAGAAAGATAATAGTGAGTAGTCTCTCTAACTCGTTACTCTCTAGAGAGAGTATTTCGTCAAAATTTACACTACACTCTACTCTATATTTAAAAAAGTAATGTACTTTCCAGTCTCATGCATTAGGTCTCAGGAGGCTCAGGCAAGGTTTTAGGAGGCTCAAGGCCGCCTCAGGACTCAGCTCTTTCCTCTCTAAAATGTACAAATGATAAGAGCAACGAATACAATATACATACAGCGAATGACAATAATATTGTTTTAACAAAAAATACATATTTAGTGAATCAAGTGATTCTTTTAAAAAAATAATAATACAGTATGTATTTGAAAGGGTACTTTGTTTTTCTAATTTTTAAAAATAAAATAGAACCCAAATATAATATTTTAGTTCGTTTTTTGATAAAAAAAATTAGTAGGCTCGATATTGAGCAAATTATAACACATTTGAGCGTAACCGACTAGCTGCGCAGTTTCTGGTATAGTGTGCACTGTGCACTGTGTGCAGTGTGTACTGTGTAGTGCAAACTGTGCACTGCACAGGGCACATTGCAGTCTGCAGACTGCGGACTGCAGATAGTGCAGACTGTAGAGTGCAGAACTGCAGACTGCAGACTTCTGCCGTGAGTGTCGTCTCTCAGAGTTGTATAGAGACTGAGAGTACTACAGAGTACAGACAACAATAAAGATTGTATGTATGTAGTACAGAGTCCGACTACAGAGTACTGCAGAGCAGTCAGACTCTACAGTCCACTGAGTACACCCTGTATATTAAGTATTCACACAGTCACACTCTACAGTCTACACTCTACGTCTACAGCACAGTCACTACAGAACTACAGACTTTTTTTAAAAACAATGTGACATTTAGGTGTATTTGACAGGTCAGTGGTCACTCATGTGACAGTCTTGCTCAGGTGAAAGCTTTGTTTTATGTCTGCCGGGCATACAAGTAGTTTATGAATTATTATTGGCTGCCAATCATTTCCTGACTCAATGTTTTCAACGATAGGACAACTTATCAACTTATTTATCAAGCGCTAATGCAATTGTTGAACGACCCTCTCTCTGCCCTGCGGCCCTTCTGCTCTGCGGCGAGTACGGTTCAGATTACAACCTTCAGACCTGCAACCTGTACTCCCTGTAGTCCTATGGAATAAGCCAATATGGGTATCTCCAACATAGGTTTTTTTCCTCTAAACGGGTTTCTTTGGCGAAACCTAAAATCTCAAAAGTTTTTCTAATTAGAATTGTTTAATTTTCAGAAGGCTATGATTGTTTATTTTGAATGTGTGTGAAATTTAAACAGCAATATAGATACGGGAACAATCGCTCAATTAATTCCACTACCTGATCGCATACACCAGACACACTAACCATGCTTAAGTTTATGTTTGGTGCTGCACAGCCCCAAGGTCTTGGGGTGACTGCTGGCAAACTTAAACGAGTGCCTCCGTCGCCTAATTGTGTCAGCAGCCAAGCTGATCCATCTGATGTAACGCACTACGTTGAGGGCATCAAATACACTCAGGCATCAGCGAAAGACGCGCTGACACATATGAAAAAAGCTATCGGTGACGATGCGGAGCTAGTTAAAGATGCTGAGGACGAGTCATATCTGCACTACGAGTACACTACGCCGCTCATGGGATTTGTCGATGATTTGGAAATCTACGCTGATGATTCCACAAAGACACTGCATGTGAGATCTGCCAGCCGTACTGGTTACAGTGACATGGGCAAGAACCGTGCCCGAGTTGAGGACCTACGAACAAAGCTCAGCAAGTAAAAGAGCAGTTCTCGTTGACATATCATTTTGAATACGGTAAGGGTGCAGTTTTCGTGACTGTGTGTATGTCAAGTACTCGTGCATAATATTTGAATCTTATCTATAAGGAATCTTTGCACTTGCGTTATAGGTGAAGTTCATAGTACAGGTATGATCATATCATATCCTATGATATATGCACTGATGCTGCTAAAGCATTAATTGAAGACAACATACTACTTACTGTTTACAAGCGTGTAAATATTGTTAATAT